CTGACAGTAAATCTAGCAGCCCAACCACTGTGAAAATTATTTGGTTTGTGGGTGGTCATAGATTTTTTAAAAAATTCTTCCTTGGATAACTTAGAGAATATTGGTATTTGACATAGGGGAACCATCATATGCCAACACTTTAAGTGTAGCCATTGAAAGTCATGAGAGCTTTAGACAATCATTGTGAGGGGAAAAAATGTGAAGATGACATTGAAGGCACCTTGATAAACATTCCCAACATAACTATGCACAGAAGAGTTTCCTAAAGCAATACTGTTTCCTGAAGGAGCATGGATGGTGGGCAGTTAAAAATAATTCACTATGAGTGTGTATACCCTTGGTTACTGTGAGTGCTAAATTAATATGAATTAACAGCTCAGCACAAAGCCTAAATGTAGCCAGTGTTTATTAAATGATAAATGTTATTAGTAGGCATGATTCTAGATAGTCCAGATATCTGTTTCTTTGCAGGCATACTAACTGCTCTTTCTTCTAAGTAATTAAAAGTAATTACGGACAATGGTTGTGATTATGGGAAATACACACACATTTAGCCTAAGGCTACAACATTTTATTAAAAGGCAGAGGTCCACAGATTTGTTCTACTCGTAGCAATTCTATTCTGAATCTGAGTATATCTGCAACATGAAACCTGTTTTACAAGCCATGGAAAGCAATCAAAGAAGTGTGTCTTTTCTTTCAAGGTTCAGCATCAGATCCTGCATTTGCTTACATCTGAAATAGAACACAGACTGAAAAAACCAAAACAACTACAACAACAACAACAACAAAAAAGTGCTTAAAGAAAGCCCTGGGTTTTCTGAAAGTATCTTTGAATCCAATTGCCATTAATTTAGGATATGATCTTAAGCTGCTCATATCATCCGAAATCCTTCGTTTGTAATGTTTGGATTTTCTAGATGTTAGGGACAGGAGTAGTTTTTAAAAAGTCTAAGTATAGCATTCCTGATTTTAAGCCTTTTTGCAAATTAAGGCCTCTGGCAGAGGAAGTCTTTCCATACTACACAGTGTTCTATGGCAGGTGTGGCCAATGTTGCATGCCGGGTTCTCTAGGAAAACATTGGTTACCAAAACAGGCAAACAGGGACTGAGATGTTTGTAATTGCTTTGGGAGTTTCAGTTGGCTGTACCTCTAAGTGGTAATGGTGAGGTCTGAGGGACAGAAAGGAAGGAACTGAATTCATATAAGACCCACACAGATTGTCTAGATTCACAGCCACTGAAAACAGATCACATTTGAATGATTGTTTAAGCTCTTTATGAGTACATTTTTTCCTTATCACGCCTCATGGCAGGTGCAACTAGAAATAGTATGTGTACCATAAAATGGAAGTAATGAGTTGTTAGCAACAAAGAACACATAGGCAGATACCAAATTTATTTAAATTAGGAGTGACTATCAGGCTTGGAATTACTTTGATTAAGAAGCTGATGTTGATTAACTGATTTAGTTACTTAGTGAAGAAACTAAGTGAAGTGTGTACACACACACACACACACACACACACACATATCTCAGGTCACCTTCTGAATCTTAAGTGGAGGAGTTGGGATTCACAGTTGTGCTATGTCTAGGGCTAGGCCCATTCTTACGACATACTGCTGGATCATTTCCCCTTTAAACTCCTTTGAGTCTGGGCACCATTGCTAGGAGCTACTGATAAAATGTGGTTCTGTTGCCTAGGAAGAACACTGTATTCATATGTACTCATATCAAAGATCAGCAGAAAACAAATCTTTGGGCAAAGTGGAGCATAGAGAGGGTTAAAGGTGGGAAAAGGGGGTCAGAAAATGAAAGATGATGTGTGGGGTCTGCAGTGGGGATTAGAGGCCCATTCTTGGGATGGAATTGGAGGTGGAGAAGGGGTGGGAGAGTGGGGCTGGGTATGGTGTCACCTAAACCACAGGGGAGAGAAACTTAATAGTATGAGAGGAAACCAAGGAAGCTGAGAGGAAGGCAGTAAGAATCTTTTCAACCTCAGAGTCTACTCCTTTTTCTGAAGAAAAAAAAAAATTACATTTTTTCTTTTGGCCCATGCAAATGAAGATGTCTCCTTTGAGTTAAAGATTCAACTAATATTATGTTAATGCATGTTTTGGTTTCTACTGAAGTTATGCATTGTTTTTATACATTTGTTCAATGGCCTTTAAACTTTATTGCCAGGCTTTCAGTTCTTGAAAGGAGCTCATTAGATTTTCATTAAGTCACCAGCTTTCACTCAATACTAGGGACCAAAGCCCTACTGGGCCATTCTGTAAGGCCCTTACAGTTAAATCATTAACGATTTCCAGTTGAACACGCTTTAGCAGTGTCTTCTCAACCTCTCTATTACCACCACCCTAAGGAGTTTTTTTCAAATAAGTTTTCCCCAATTGCCCTTTTCCAAAAAAGTTTCAATTCCAAAGATATACTATATATTCATTTATGTAACTGTGGCCTTTTGGAGGGTCACAAACCATTGTAATATTTAAGATTCTCCCCCAGCCCAAACCAACCTTTCCTGCCTTTGGTGGGAGACATTGCCCCTATGAAGAACGCATACTTAAAAACTGCTAAACAATGATTTTGGTCCTTCCAAAATAGTGTTTTGCTCTTATAATTGCCTTATTTATTTGAACAGCTAACGCTTTTCCCACTTACCATCTCCTTTCCCTAAGTAACTAGAAGTGGAGCTATTATAGGGCCGCCTCTCAGCAGGAAACACCAAGGGAATATGCTTACCATGTCTCTAACACAAATAACAGTCCCCCAGGATGTAACTACCAGTTTCAGTTGCTGGAACTGAAATGAACAATTCAGTAGTGTGTTGTTTTTTTTTTAAGTATGTTTAAAAATTCTTTTTTCGGTGTGGGGAGGAAGAGCATCAGAATAAACAGCTAATGCACGTGGGGCTTAATACCTAGGTGATGGGTTGATAGATGCAGCAAACCACCATCGTACCCATTTACACCTATGTAACAAACCTGCACGTTCTGCACATGTATCCTGCAACTTAAATAAGATTTTTTAAAAAACTTCATTTTTTCTGCTAACCTTGAGGAGCAAGGTTTGAACTATCCCCCTTTCAGATGTAGAATAAACATCAGTATTGTTGTGTAGGACACTTCTCTGCCATTGTTCATTAAATCAATGAATTATCTAATGTGGGTTTTCCATTTCTTTGCTGTGTACAGTTGTTCTGTACCTAGGATGTCTATTTAAACAAAGGATGTTTTCTGGAAATCCTGAGTAGAAAGGCTGCCATATGTATTCATTTATTAGGACTGCCATTACAAAATATCCCAGACCAGGTGGCTTAAACAATAGAAATTTATTTCCTCGAAATTCTGGAGCCTAGAAGCCTGAAATAAAGGTGTCAGCAGAATTAGTGTCTTCTCAGAACTCTCTCCTTGGCTTGTAGATGACTATCGTCTAGTGTCTTTATATGGCCTTCCTCCCACTGTGTATGTCTGTGCCCTAATCCCCTCTTTTTAGAGGGACAAAAGTCATATTGGATTAGGGCTCATCCTAAGGCTTCATTTTAACTTCATTACCTCTTTAAGTCTTTATATCCAAATATAGTCACATTCTGAGGGAGTAGGATTTCAACATATGAATTTTGAGGGGACATAATTCTGTCCATAATGTAAGACCAGGTATAAAGAAGCCTATTGCAAGCCACAAACACAGAATTTGACTAAGATGTATTTATTGGAATTCCCACTTTGTGTTTTTTACTAGCTGTATGTCTTTCAGCAACTCACTTAACCTGTCTAACTGCAATTCTAATTGAACATATGATAGTCATCCCTGTCCCAAAAGATGGTTGTGAGAATTGTGTCTAATAACTATAACTAAAAAGTATGTGTATATATGTGTGTGTGTGTGTGTGTGTGTGTGTGTGTGTATGTATGTCTAGGACAGCATCTAGCTTGTAGTAATTGCTCAATGGAAGGGAAATGGTTTATTACCTCTTCCTCTTGAATTTGGACCCAGACTTTAGTACATTTGGGAACTGGAAGATCGACAAGTCAGTAAATATTAGTAACATCAAGAAGGGGAAATAAATGAGCATTATTGAACTATAATATATTGAGTCCTCTTAAGCATATCATAGGCCCAATGTTTGTTTTTTGCATGAGATCTGCGTAGATTCATTCGTTCAATATTTATTGTGCATGCAATATGTACCAAATGCAGAAAGCAGTCATCTCACCTGCTGTATGGAGGGCTCTTCTCATAGCTGATACTCGGTCTCCTATATTTCTTGTAATAGATTCCCTGGGATTGGGGAGTTTCTGCAAGACTCAGAATTTAAAAGGTGCTTCAAGTTGAACTACTATTATTGCAGTCAAAACTGTTTTTGCTCTCTTCAGGAACAGCCTTGCCTGTGTTCAGGGACTTTTGTGTGGTATCATGCTACTGGTCCACATTACTAACTTGACTATTGCAGCAATTACATGAATGATAAAAGCCACTATGCTGTTCCTGAAGAGAATGCATTCCACAGCATTCATTAATTATCCCAGCCTGTAGATGCACAACTACCCCTGCATACACTTGAGACCACACACCATAAGGATGGAAACTCTCTCAAAGTCACAGTGACTTTGTGTTGCTTTGTACTCTTACATTGTCCATCCTTTACAACAGCCCTTCTCCTGTCCTTCTGATTCTCAGAACTCAAAATCAGAATGAAGTAAGGCTGCGCAATGTCATTTATGGGGATAGGTTAGGCTTAAGTCTCCTGGAACCACCTTGGGTCACCCAGCTCTACGGAAGACACCCCTAGATGGTGTAGACCCAAAGTCATTCTCAGCCACACAGTAGTTAAGAATTCTCCATCCTACAGTATGCCCTTCTTTAGAATAATAATCATAATGATGGGAGATGGGACACAGTGATAAATCTTTGATGTCTTTGTTCATTAGTTTCCTTATCTATCTCTCTCTCTTCTCTCTCTTCCCCTACCCCACTATTTTCTCTTTGACATAAACAGCCAACATCAGATGATCTTGTTTCATCTGCTGAATGTTCAAGTGATGATGAAGACTTCGTTGAATGTGAGCCGAGTACAGGTAGGTCAGGTCAGTCTTGTTTTGCTTGCTTTCTTTTTTCTTTTGCAAAAAACAATACATACATATATGTGATTATACATGTTTTTTATATATAGATTATAGTGTGTTAATGTGTGTATATTTTTATATCTATATATGTATAAGTATACATATATAAATACTATATCAATGAAAGCATCAAATCCCATGGAAGGAGCAATAAGATCCTACAAAAATTTTGAGTCAGTCTCTTGATCGCTAAGAAAAAAGTCATGGTATATGACTTAACATTGGGCAAGCAGATGCCTAGATTTACCACTGCAGCAGCAAATGTGTATCAGCCAGTGGCAGCTATGAAATTCACAGAGGGTGGGAACATGAGGAAATGTATGTTGGAATGACATCAAGAAAGGACGAACCCATGGAGGAGCTTAAAGATTGGTAAGTGGAGCCATAAAGATTGGTAAATGTCACTTAAAACTCACGAATTGTTCTGAGCTAAGAGAACCAAAAATATATGTATATATATATTTTTTTCCATGGGATTTCAACAGCAGTTAACATGGTATTATCTTTATACTAATTTTGTTAACTGTGTGTCTAGAAAACTTGTGCAACAATATAGTAAACACAAAATTAGTACTGTACCATGCCATGTCAACAGCTGTGATGCTTCAAAATGTATCTACTGTGCTGAAGTTGAGAAGACTTTAGCAATCAGAAGCTTCAATGTGTTCCCCATTTGGACCCAGATACATTTTGATGTTTTATGGTCTTTCTTTATAGTGAGCTATATATGAGATAATGTCCAGCAGGCAATTGCAGTCCCTGATTATTTCCTATCAACTTTTCCCAGTTGTCTGTTTTGAGACTTACTATAAGTTAAACATTTATATGTATATAATAGAGAACAGATATCATCGAATTTCTGTGTATGTTTAATAGAATTAACAGCTGGAGTTGGGCCAGGATCTTATTTCTGCAAAGACTAGAATAGAATTTTCTTATTTTTTGCATTGCTTTCAGATTTTTTTCCTTTTAAGAAAAGGAAAGCCATTAAAAATTCTCTTTTGCTAATTCTAGAAAATTTAAGCTTCATGAAAAAAATAATCTAATAAAAATAAAAATCTTCCATTTCTGACCCCTAAATGATTTACAAGATTTCAAATCTGTTGAAGTCTGACTGCTTTGGTTTCTTGCAAGTGGCATTGGATCCAGGAAGTTCTGTGGGTTCACACCCTTAGTATGACACAGGGACATATCATTAATATGATGGGGCTTCCATTCTGGAGTGTAATCTGTTCCACTGGGAGCTCAGCTGTGTGGAGGGAAAGTAAAATGTGATCTGGTCGGTTTTTTTTCAGATTTTTAAGTAATAATAATCTGTATGTGCTATGTGAGCACATAGCCATACATGCAACATGTACCCTAAAAGGGCAGATATATCCCAACTATACCAGAACTCGGGTGCCATGTTTTCATTAATTTATTCATCCATTCAATAAATATTTATGAGCACTCAGGCAGGATACAATATATCTCTAGATTTGAGTCCTTCCTCTTTTTTTTTTTTTTTTTTTTTTTTAGAAATTAGCTGTCAGAGAGTAGAATAGTTTTGCTATCTAACTCCTAGCGTAATTCAATTCAACAGCTATTTTTGAGGGTCAGCTGTATATGTTAAGCATGTGCTAGATATTAAGGTTCATATCTTAATAGGTCACAATCCTCAAGATGTACATTAAATTAGCTTGTTTTGTGGCAAACACTTTAAGAAATCTAGGCTTTATTTATCTTTTTTTTTTTTTTTTTTTTTGAGATAAGGTCGCCTAGGCTGGAGTGCAGTGGCGTGTTTATAGCTCGCTGCAGCCTCAAACTCCCGGGCTCAAGTGGTCCTCCTGCCTGAGCTTCCCAAGTAGCTAGGACTACATGCACCACTATACCAGCTAATTTGTTTTATTTTCTGTACAAATGGGATTCTCATCATGTTGCTCAGGCTGGTCTTGAGCTCCAGGCCTCAAGAAACCCTCTCGCTTTGACCTCCCAAGTGGTTTTCTTCCTTTCTTAGCAGTGATATCTTTATATGCAGCAATGTTTATCAAATCTGTAGGTTTTAAGGCTTGTCAAAATTGAGACTTGGTCATTCTGAAATACTATCACCATCTTTCCTCAACTACTCACCCTGCCTCAGAAAGTCATCTCCATAGCAACCTCCATAATAAGGCAGTGGGCTTTTCCAGATCTCAGCTTCAGATCCTCCAGCCTATAGCTGCCCCACTTATAGGTATATATCGCTATTTGTTATGAGACTTGAACAGCCTAAACCTGAATGGCCCCAAACTAAATCCATTGGTTTTCTAGAGGCCACACAGGTATTTTCTCTGATTCAAAAGCAGAGGACAGAAATTCAACACCAACATTTCTTGAATAACATGGGGTGGGTGGGGAGATCCAGTTTTTAAAACAATCTGTTATGTTCTGTAAGGGAACATGAGAGGAGATAAAGTGAGTGACAGAACCCCTACCCTGAAAGAGCGAACATGTAGCTCTAGGAGACTGATATTGATTTCCTCCCCCTGTGATTATTCAACTCATCACATTTAGAATGAGCATTGCATTTTTCTAATTTTATTTGCTCCATAAAGTGTTCCTGGTGAGTGATTGGTATATACAGGGAAATACATCAGAGGTATATTTAATATAAGAAGTAGGTAGATATTTCTAGTAATGCAGAGAGAGAAGAGGTTTGCCCAGAGGACCTGATTTCCACTAATGGGGATCACCTTCTTGGAGCTATCAAGCCCTCTTTTTCATCACATAAGAAATATCTCCTCAGGAGTTCAAGACCAGCCTGGCCAAGATGGTGAAACCCTGTCTCTACTAAAAATACAAAAAAATTAGCCAGGCGTGGTGGCCAACGCCCGTAATCCCAGCTACTCAGGAGGCTGAGGTAGAGGATTGCTTGAACCTGGGAGGCAAAGGTTGCAGGGAACCAAGATCGCGCCACTGCACTCCAGCCTGGGCAACAGAGCAAGACTCCATAAAAAAAAAAAAAAAAAAAACTCCTCAGGCTTCACATTTTCCAAAAACAATACAGATTAAAATCAGAAACCAGTTTCTTGGGCAAGATTTGCACTGCCTAAAGAGAAGGGACCTACTTCCCATGCAGCAACAGATAATGGTGATATTTACATATCTTTGACATAAATTGCCAATCTTGCAATTCTGTATTACCCTAATTCACTGCCTCCATTTCTAAAACATTTTTCCAGGCCTTTTGCTTGATGGAAATACACTAAATTTGGCTAACTTCCTTGGCCTTGTTCTATCATACTTATCACTTTATCTTCTTTCACTTTGTATCAAGTTTATTATTTTCTAGCTGTCTCCGTTTATGAGGCATTTAACTTCTATAGGTTATTTCCTGATTAATTTACATCCATTTGAAGCTCTCACTTTTCATAAATTTGAGTAGTTTAGTGTATGCTGTAATTCAATTTTTATTTTCATGTGAGCATCACATTTTAAATGAAATAATTTATTTTTTCTTCAAATCAAATTGGATTTTTCAACTGCTAGTTTTGAGTTAGGTGTAAGCAATCTCCTTTCACTCTCAGAACTTACTTTTGTGCTTAGGGGTCACCAAGGTTTGGTATAGCTTAATCTTATTGTATTTATGAACAACGTAAATATTTTTGGAGTTTGGTCAATAGGAGTCTAGAAATCTTGCAAATCCGATGGAAGTCAAATTTTCACGGTATATTTTTGCTGGTAAATATGTAGATTAAAAAAAAAAAATCCCAACTCATGAGAGCAAGGCATAAAGTAACAGCTCAATTAGGATTTGTCAACTAAATTACTTTGAAACAGAACTTTATATCTCTAACTTCATTTCCCCTTTAACAGCTCAAATTAAACCTGTTGAATCATTTAAAATTTATCATTTCATATAATAAGGCTGCCCTGACAAAATCTACATTTTTAACAAATTTATTTTAAAATTTTTGAGACTGGGTAACAAGACTGGCTAATTTTTGTATTTTTAGTAGACACGGGGTTTTGCCATGTTGGCCAGGCTGGTCTCAAACTCCTGGGCTCAAGCGATCCACCCACTTCAGTCTCCCAAAGTGCTGGGATTACAGGCATAAGACACCATGCCTGGTCAAAACCTACATTTTTTTAACAATAGTATTCTCTGTTTTTTCCTATCCCTACCTTTTTCCAGGAATTAGATTATTTTATAAGTCACAGATACAATCACATTTTCTGAATATTTGCTTCAAGAACCCAGAATTGAACCTTTAAACAATAACGTTATAGTAAAACCATCTGCATCAAATGAAAATATTCAGAAGTGTATCTGAATGGCTATCTAAGGGTGAAGGTCTGGATTGTAATTCTTGATTTATGAATGTTAATTGTGTTCTTCACAAAACAAATCAGTATATATTTAATACTTTTATTTAATACAAAGAACAAAGATTTGTTCTTTGCATATAAACTGTTTCCTTTCCAACTGCATTTCTATTAATCTTAAATTGTGCAGTAAACTCAAATTTCATTGTCCTTTTTATCTCTTTGAATCCAACAAGAAAAACAGATGATCTGGAGAGCACTCAAATAACCCCTAGGAAAGGGATACCCTCGTGAGATTATGGAAGCCAAATAGCAATTAAGATCATTAGTAAATTCACATTTGTAATATAAAATGTGAGAATGAATTCTGAAATTCAGAGAAAATAACACAATTCACTTTCCGTTTCTTCTCTTTCCCTCACCCCTGCTGCTATCCCTAGAATTCCATCTTTGGAACTAGAATAATAGTGAAAACAAATGTATTCTTAGATTAGGTTTTGTATAATTAGAAATGATCAACTTCCTGGATTTTACATATTTATAGTTTCAAGATTCTAAAAGTCTTGGGGGCAGGAGGCCACAGAGCAGAGCAAAAAAAAAAAAGTAATACTTTTATACTGATAAGTGGGCATGGCAATACTTAACCAAATTGATTCATCCAGTCATTA